GCCACATTAGTATTCAGGGTGGTAATAATTCTATTCCTCACAAGTATAGAGATCATTCATGGCCTGCAAAGTTTAAGTGTGTAGTTAAAAATTCGAGATTAGTTGGAGAGTAATTTGTGTATTATCCCATTCTTTTTCCTCAAATATACTTCCATTTCTGCGTTCTCTTTTCCATACAACAATGTGGTATTTGGGGAGAGTAGTGAGTATGCAGACCTTACCTCTACCTTGTGAAGGTAGAGAGACTGTTTCCGATAGACCACGTCCTCTTCTCCATCTAAAGTACAAAACCAACAAAAAAAAGTACAAAACCAAAAAAAAGGAGAAATTTTGAATTCAAAATTTCTCACTCAGGTTATAGATTAGAATTTTAAGTTACTGTAGGTATGCTGCACCCATTTACAAAGAAACATTTTTACTAACTGATAACATTGTGCATCCAGGACTGTGTTGGGAGTTCTCAGTAATAGGGATTAACGAAAACCGTAGGTAATTTTTCATGCCTTCAAACTCACATGCATAAAAATCAGACACAAAAAAATTTCAATCTAGTCGTGTCTGCAAATTGAGAAACCGAAAATAATGTGCTAATAGTAACTAATTGGCGATTTAGAAATTGAATGGTTGTCGACATTCTTGAACTAAAAAAATCTTCATGTCTTACTTGTAAAAGGCATCAGTGAACATGATATTGCTTACAAGTTGTAGTAAATGAAATGAGTAAGTCAATTCTTATAGTCAGATGCAGCTGCTCGAACGAGTGTTACAAGTCCATAACAAGATCATTGACAGGGAATTTAAGGCCTTCCAACTAAGTGTATGTGTCTAGTTTCTTTTCTTTTTAAGTTTTGTACTTATTCCATTTTTATAATTAGTTTATCCTTGACCATCAAAAGTCTCAGTATTACAAATATATGTTGATTGGTTCATGAATACCCAGAAGATTTGTTATTTAACTATCTTTGCCGGCCTATAATAGTAGTTTAATTTTTCATGTCTTAAGTTGTTTCTTTGCCGGCCGATATATAGATTTGTTAATAAGAACCAAATGGAAGCCCTCCCATATTTTTCCAATTTAAGTCTTCCTTAATTCCAATTATTAATTAGAACCAGATGGTGGATCTTGGGACTTCCTTACAAAGAGTTGATTTCCACTTCACTCGAGCAGAGCCTGCTTTCTAAAAACAGTCTGATGGTTCTTGATTATAGCCTGTATCGTGCCACTTTTTTCATGGCTAGTCTCCTCATCCTTTCTTCACAACATTTGATTAGCGGGCAATCTTCTCAAACTTTTATTACAAATTCCTCCATTTCCTGGATCAATAGACCCTCCTATGTAGTGAATTCCACAGATGGAGCCAAACTGACGCCCATCCTCTCGAGAGAAGGCAACAGGACTATGTTTGTCTGTGGCTTCTTATGTGATTACAATGGCACTGCTTGCGTTTTTGGTGTCCTTTTATTCCCAAGTATCCTTTACCCTTATATGGATAATCCGAGATTAATTTGGTCAGCAAATAGGAATAATCCAGTTAGAGTTGATTTAACTTTGCAACTTAGGCAAGATGGAGTGTTCTTGATGGACTCAAATGGCACTTTGATTTGGAAGATAAAAACATTTGGAAAGCTTGTTTCAGACTTCAACTTGACAAAAATGGGAAATCTTGTCCTTTTCGGCAGAAGTAATGACACCATTTGGCAGTCTTTTGATCATCCTACAGACTCTTTGGTTCCTGGACAAATAATGGCTCCCGGACAGAAGCTGATATCCAGCATATCAGCAACAAGCTGGAACGAAGGTTTGTTCACATTTGATGTTCGAAGTGTTGGTCTTTTTGCATACATTGAGTCAAATCCACGCCAATCCTATTTCTCAATGCTTGTTACGGATGAATCTTCAGAATTTCTTCTATTAAGCGAGTTTGTAAATTTGAGTATTTCTAAAGGGATGATATTCAAATACAGCAAAGGAGATGCTCGATTCATGAAATTCGGAGGTGATGGGCATTTAAGGGTGTATTACTGGGAACGATCATCTTGGACAGAGGCTGCTGATCTATTGACAGACTCCAATGGTGACTGTGGGTATCCAACTGTGTATGGGAATTATGCTGTTTGTGGAAATGTGCAGTGTAGTTGTCCTCAAACTGCAGCTGATCAGACAAACTTTCTCCAGCAAATCAATTACAGACAGCCAAACCAGAGGTGTCTCCTTGTCACACCTATTTCTTGTGAAGATTCCAAGTATCATGCTCTTATGGAGCTTAAGGACACGGCTTATATTCCCCTCAATCTGCAATATGGTACCAAAACAGAGTTGGAGAATTGCAAAAGGTCTTGCTTGAGCAACTGTTCTTGCAAAGCAGCTCAATTCCGATTTAGTGGTCCTGATAACACAATGGGTGATTGCTTACTGTCGAATCAAGTGTTTTCTCTCGTGAACAACGATGGAGCACTCACTAAGACCACTCTTTTTGTCAAGGTTCAGAACTCTTCTAACCTAGAAGCCTCTCCATCACTTGTATCTTCAGAGAAGCAATCAAAAAATGTCGGAATGATAGTTGGGTCCACCGTTGGAGTTTTCTTTGGTTTGCTTTTCATGGTTTTAACTTGCTTTGCCTTTCGTTCCAGAAGGAGAAAAGGACTCGAGGAAGCAGAGGAGGAGTTCCTTGACCATGTACCAGGAATGCCTACCAGATTTTCCTTTGAGGAACTAACTGTTATGACAGAAACTTTCAGTAAGAAACTTGGGGAAGGAGGATTTGGTTCTGTATTTGAAGGAACAATGAGCGATGGCACTAAAATAGCAGTGAAGCATCTCCAAGGTTTCGGTAATGTGAAGAAATCATTCTTAGCTGAGGTAGCAACAATAGGTAGCATTCACCATGTCAATCTGGTAACACTTGTTGGATTCTGTGCTGAGAAATCACACAGGCTTCTGGTTTATGAATACATGGCCAATGCCTCTTTAGATAGGTGGATTTTTCAATGAAAGCAGGAACACTCTCTTATATGGGATGTCAGGAAAAAAATCATATCAGACGTCGCCAAGGGCCTCGCTTACTTACATGAAAATTGTAACAACAAAATTATTCATTTGGATATTAAGCCTCAGAACATTCTTCTAGATCATAATTTCAATGCAAAAGTATCAGATTTTGGGTTATCAAAGCTCGTGGGAAAAGATGAAAGTAAGATAGTTACAACAATGAGAGGAACACCTGGCTATTTAGCACCAGAGTGGTTGAACTCGGTCATTACTGAGAAAGCGGATGTTTATAGCTTTGGGATTGTGATCTTGGAGATCATATGCGGCCGAAAGAATTTGGATCATCGTCAAGATGAGGATGATATGCATTTGCTTAGTTTGTTCAAGAGAAAATCAAAGGAGACTCAACTCTTGGAAATGGTGGACAAGAACAGTGAGGATATGCAGCTCCACAGAGAAGAGGCTGTGGAAATGATGAAGATTGCAGCATGGTGTTTACAAAGTGATTACACAAAGAGGCCTTCGATGTCGTTGGCAGTTAGGGTGTTGCAGGGCTTGGTGGCTGCTGAAACCGACTTGGATTACAGCTTTCCATATCCACCGATGACAAGAAGACTTGCCGAAGATAATCATGAAAGGGAAGCTATTGTTGGTATCAGCTTACCAGTTCCATCAGAGTTATCAGGACCTAGGTAAATTGCTGGTTAAGTTCCTCCCTCACTTGCTTTTTTGTTCTGTTCTAAACTATATCTGTAATGTTAAAGTAGTATAATTTCAATTTTTATGACCGGATTTGTGATTGTTAGTACTGGTATTTATCATCAACTTTGAACAGCTAATGAATCATACGATACATCCATTCTGCTGAGTTAACACTTGTTATTTGCTGCCAAAAGCCATTTTATGTATTTCAGTAGCAACCTTTGCCTCTTCTTAAACCATGGTGCACACAAGCTTTCCTAGGAGAAAAGAGTATAACTAACAGCTTCCAATTAGTTCTTTGTATTATTTAAAGCTTCAGCATAATCTTGAGTGAGCTGAAATAGCAGAGTTTGGAAAATCATCACGATTCTTGGAGTCCTTGGTGGAATAATTTATTGATTTCTGGAAAATAATAGGTGCAATGTGTAAGGGCAAGGATGATACCTTACTTCAATAGGCTAAACGTGGGAAAGAACCCACCTCCCGCCCCCTCTTTTTCTTTCCGTTTTCAGGATGTAAACCAATTAAAGAGAAAATTAAGTAATCTAGGATTAGTATTGTTTTTATACAATACCAGTTAAAAGATTGAACAAACATGAGGATTTGATGTTAGTAATATTCTAACTCGGTTCAACTAGTTAGAAACAGTTGGTTCTTATCGAGATCAAACAAGCTAATGAGTCACATCATACTTCTACAAACGTGTTGTTTGCTGTCAAAAACTATTATATGAATTGAACAAGCAAAGCCCTGGTGAAGCAAGGCCCTTTTTCTTTTTACATGTTGTAAGAAATAAGAACTAGAGAAAATGAGTAATAGGATTACTATTTATCTAATACAATAGTCACTTTGAATGACTGAGCAAACAAGAGGGTTTGATGTTAGTAAGGATCTAACTCGGTTCAAGTAGTTAAAACTGTTGGGTGGTACAGAACTTAAATATTTTAATTCCAGGCATCTAGTGATATCCCAAAAGCAATATCTATAGTTCAATTATCATAGGTTCAAAATAAAAAATAAAAACTTTTTCAAGCTAAATATGCAGCTCTGAGTGTTTTAAAACTCTCTTGTTAGCTTTGAAGCAAAACTCCATTGGCATAAAGTTGGACATCTTTAAGCAGTTCACAATCTGTAGTTGAAATGTAATTTGAGGATTTAGAAGTTGAATAGATGCAGAGTTTCTTTAAATTACAACAACAACAACCCAGTGGGATCCCACAAGTGGGGTCTGGGGAGGGTAATGTGTACGCAGACCTTACTCTTACCCTGGAGGGCAGAGAGGCTATTTCCGAAAGACCCTCGGCTCGAGAGGAAGAAAAAGTTTCTTTACATTAATAAATCAATTATCATGCTTTACTTGTAATAGTCATCTGGAGCATGACTCTTTCAAAGTTTGGTAAATGAAATGAGAAGTCATTTGTCATATTATACTTAGTCAACACTGTGCTGCTGGAAAGAGTGTAAAAGTCCACAAAAGTTTATTTTGAAGATTAATTAGATAATAGGACATTAAATAAGCTTTTGTGAGGCCCCTCTCCGTGTTGACTGGGCAAAGATAGTCAGAGACAAAGATGTAAGGATTTTATTGTAGTTTTCTTTACACAACGAGAAGCTGTAAATCAAAAGAAAATCACAACAGCAGGCATTAATGAAACAAAGAGGATTCCAAATTTTTTCTTAGATTTGGCTTCGTTTACAAGCAATGATTGCAGAACAAAGACTACATATTCCTGTCCTCCTCACTTATTTCCTCTTCTATTCGTCTCAGTTTGCTGTATCCCAAATTTCCTGGAACTTGAATGCCAGTCTTTTGAATTCCACTGCCGGACTTTCCACTTTCTGGACAAACAGGCCGACACTTTTAGTTAATTCCACCACTGACTTCTCGCGTTTGGCACCCATACTTCTGCGAAGAAATGCCAGTTCACGATTCCTCTGTGGCTTCTACTGCAATTACAATGCTACAGAATGCTTTTTTGGTGTCCTCTTGTTCCAGAAAAGATCCTACGGGCAGAATGATGTGATAAATTTCCCCCAGTTAGTTTGGTCAGCTAACAGGAACCATCCAGTGAAAACCAATGCAACCTTGCAACTAAGACAAGATGGCAACTTGGTCTTGGCAGACTTTGATGGCACTCTTGTTTGGTCCACTAATACTACTGGCAAATCCGTTTCAGGCTTAAACTTGACAGAGAGAGGGAATCTCGCGCTCTTTGATAAGAGAAAACGCGCAATTTGGCAGTCTTTTGATCATCCAACAGATTCTTTGCTTCCGGGGCAGAGTTTGGTTCACGGGCAGAAGCTCATAGCAAGTGTTTCAGCATCCAATTGGAGTCAAGGTTTGCTTTCTCTTACTGTTCTCAATGGAAGCTGGGCTACTTACATAGATTCTGACCCACCTCAGTTTTACTATGCTTCAACTTATTCCTATAGTCCTTACTTCAGTTTTGACAGTCAAACCTTTACTGCTTTACAATACCCTACTACATCGACAGCTCAATTCATGAAGCTTGGGCCTGATGGACATTTAAGGGTATACCAATGGGACGAACCTGATTGGAAAGAGGCATCTGACATTTTGATGTTAGAGGTAAAAAACTGTGAGTACCCGATGGTGCGTGGTAGATATAGCATTTGCACAAATAACGGGCAATGTACTTGTCCGCCGGAAGAAAATATATTCAGGCCATTTTCTGAGAGGAAACCAGATCTTGGATGCACAGAGCTGACATCCATTTCTTGTGATTCTCCACAGTATCATAGTCTCGTAGAGCTCAAGAATACCGCATATTTTGCATTTCCGTTCAGTCATGAACTAAGTTCGAGCATATTTTGGCCTGAGGGGAAAAAGTTGGAAGATTGCAAAAGGGCCTGTCTGAGTAACTGTTCTTGCAAAGCTGCAGCTTTTCAATATGATTGGGGTACAGATCAAAGAGGGAGTTGTTTGTTACTGAATGAAGTCTTCTCTCTCGTAGACAATGAGGACGGAATGGACAAGAGAGTATTTCTTAAGGTGAAGAATTCCTCAAAGGCACAGAATCAGTCTCCAATCATTTCTGGAGGAAGGGAATCAAGACCTTATAAAGTGATAATAGGATCTACTCTTTCAGCTTTGTTCGGGATCATTTTATGTATCACTACTTGCTTTGTTATTTTCAAAAAGCGGACGCATAAGTCCCGCAAGGCTAAGGATTTTCTGGATCTAGAGCCAATCTTACCTGGAATGCTAACTCGATTCTCTTACAATGAGTTGAAAATAATTACAAAAGATTTCAGCACAAAGCTTGGGGAAGGAGGATTTGGCTCTGTATATGAGGGAACACTGAGTAATGGAACCAAAATAGCTGTGAAGCATCTGGATGGTCTAGGTCATGTAAAGGATACATTCTTAACAGAAGTTAACATAGTTGGTGGTATTCACCATGTCAATTTGGTAAAACTCATTGGATTTTGCGCCGAGAAAAGCTACAGGCTTCTTATCTATGAGTACATGGTAAATGGATCATTGGATAGGTGGATTTCCCATGAAAATGGGCTTGCATGGCATACGAGGCAAAGGATAATATCAGATATTGCCAAAGGGTTAGCTTATCTTCATGATGAATGCAGCCAGAAGATAATTCATTTGGACATCAAACCACAAAACATCCTTCTAGATCAAAATTTCAGTGCTAAAATATCTGATTTTGGTTTGTCGAAACTGATCGAGAAAGACAAAAGCAAAGTTGTAACTAGAATGAGAGGAACACCAGGGTATCTTGCCCCTGAATGGGTGAGCTCAGTAATCACTGAGAAAGTTGATGTGTATGCTTTTGGAATTGTGCTCTTGGAACTCCTCTGTGGGAGAAAGAATTTGGATCGGTCCCAAGCTGATGAAGAAGATGTCCATTTGGTTAGTGTTTTTAGGAGAAAAGCGGAAGAAGAGCAGCTCATGGATATGGTTGATAAAAACGAGGATATGCAGCTCCACCATGAAGCAGTAATAGAAATGATGAGCATTGCTGCGTGGTGTCTACAGGGAGATTTCACAAAGAGGCCTTCCATGACATTGGTGGTTAAGGCGCTGGAAGGTTTGGTGTCAGTTGAAACCGACTTGGATTACAACTTCACTAACATACCTCAGGTTGGGGCAGGCAACCAACAGAGGGAAGCCACTATCAGTTCTAAACTGCCTTCAGTTTTATCTGGACCAAGGTAAACAATAGTTTTAAGATTTTTAATCTTCGAAAGAACCAATTTATGGTTTTGTAATGTCAGATGTCGCGAAGTTCCAATTCTAACATAATGTTTTGAGGTGTATGAAGTTCCAATTCTAACATAATGTTTTGAGGTGTATGACATTATAATTCAGGAAATGTAATGTTTTTGTTACTTCTGCATTAGACTTTTGAGCTTCATATTACTATCATGTAGAGGACCCTCAATTCATATTCATATTAGAGTTGTTAGAATCGTTGTAAGAAGAATCTTGGACAGATGTAAATAGGTCTCTTCCTTTTCTTTTTTTTTTGTAATTGTGATTTCCAACACAAGCTTTGTGTTGATGAATATACTGTTACCTTTATCAAAAATAATGTGGTGTTGCAGCTACTGAACGTGTGCCTAAAGTCCTACCATTTGCACTTAGGACTTCAACTTTATTCTCCCTTCTATTTTATTTTATTTCCGTTTCCTTTCATCCCCAACTCCATCTGATTCTGCTGCAGTGACTCCGGACCTTTTTTCATACAGTTGCGTGCTTCATCACTAGATCCTTCTTTGTCTTGTGGATGCTGTTCCCTGAAAATCTTGGCTGTATTAAGCATCTAACATTACTAAGGGGTAGGGGTGGCAAAATGGTTAAATGAAAACAGTAATCCGCCCATATTATCCATTAAAAAATGGGTTGGATAATGAACTTTTTAAAAACGAGTCAAATATGGATAAGAACTATATTATCCCCTTAGAAAATGGATAACTAGTGGATAATTAATTTATCCCCTCAAATTGGGGGTTCCTCAAGTTTGGCAGACTAGGAATTCTCCCCAAAATGATCACATTCAAGAAGCCATGGATATTATATCCATATTGTCCGCCAGTTAACCCGTTTTTTATCGGTATTAAATATGGGTAAGGTTGGATAATTTATCCATTTTTGCATTATCCGTTTTTGACCGGTCCCATATCCGACCCGACCCGCAAGTTTGCCACCCTACTAAGGGGTAACCTATCAAATAACATAACAGTTACTAGTAAAAAGAACATTCCATATAACCAACAGCTTTCGATGAGAGCTCATTCATTTTATTATTTAAAACTTCAACATAATCTTGAGCGAATTGACAGAGGAGAGAAAGAAAAATTGAATATCACAGAGTCGCAACCTTTTTATCCCCTGGAAACACGGTTCAGGGTTCTTGGGGACCTATCCTTTGGATAGGGGGTTACCGGCCCCGGTAACTTCAAAAAAAAAATGTATGTATATATATCTCGAATAAGAGGTGTATTTTGAATTATGGGTCCGCTTCTGCTTGTAAAAAGATATAATAGGTACAACGAGTAAGGCACGGCGTATTACCTTACTTACTAGGCCTAACATAGTTAAAACTGTTGGTTGGTTCAGAACTTACATATGTAATTACAGGCATCTAATGATAACCCGGAAATGATATCTGTAGATTAATTTTAATAGGTTGAAAAGAAGAAGAAGACATTTTCGAGCTAATTATATATGCAGCTCCAGTGTTTAAAAACTCTCTTGCTAGCTTTGAAGACTAACTGCATTGGCATAAAGTTGGAAATTTTCAAGTTCTAGTTTACAATCTGCGGTATGTAGAAATGTAATTAGAGGATCTAGAGGTTGAGCAGGTGCAAAGTTTCTTTAAATTAATAATTATAATCATGCTTTACTTGTAATAGCCAGCTGGAGCATGAGGCTTTCAAAGTTTAGTAAATGACATGAGAAGTCATTTGTTATATTCTTTAGTCAATACTGAGCTGCTGGATCCAAAAAAAATACTGAGCTGCTGGAAAGAGTATAAAAGTCGAACAAATGTTTAATTTGAGGATAATAGCACATTAAATAAGTTTTTGTTTGTGAGGCTCCTCTCCGTATTGACTGGGCAAAGACAGACAGAGACAAAGATGTATGAATTTTATTGTAGTTTTCTTTCCTCCACTGTATACAACGAGAAGCTGTAAATCAAAGAAAATCAGAACAGCATGCATTAATGAAACAAGTGATATCAATTTAGTTGTCGAGAAATCATGTTAGTTCTTTTGACTTCTGGTGTTATTAACCGATCCTTGTCTGTTGGCATGCTGTTATTTGGTGATTAAAAGATTAAATATTCTATTAAGGCCAAATACATCGGCAGCCCCTTAAAGTTGTCCTTATTTTTGACTTGCACACTTTATCTTAAGCCTGTTTCATTTGAACCCTTCAACCATATCTCATTTGTGCTATTGAGACACAAAATTAATAGGCAGTCAAACATAAATATGCGTGTAATTCACATGCCAAAGTGACGAATAAGACAAGGACATATGGATTTAACTTAAATAAATTAAAATAAAATAAAAATAGAACCAGCCTCCAATCCCTTCGTCGTCTTCTCCGATGATCCCC